AAAAAAAAAAAAAAAACAAAACAAAAACTCTAAACAAAAACAAAACAAAAGAAAAAGATTGGAGCAAACGAGAAAGGAGCAAAAATCACGGTTTTGGCACGTCGATCGCTAGCCTCTAAGCACTCCTATCCACCGCTAAATCCTTGGAGATATTCCAATTTTTAAGGTCTATCTGAACCGACTCTTCCCAAGTGAGTTTAGGCCGACCTCTATCTCTCTTAACAACATCGGCCCGCTGAAGAACTCCCCGACGCACCGATGCATCAAGAGGCTTCCGTAGGACATGTCCGAACCACCTCAGCCGATGTTGAACCAATTTCTCCTCGCTTGGAACCAAAACATATATAAATAGGCAGAGCACACAAAAAAAGTTGGTTCCATTTGTAAATACTTTAAAAACTAAAAAGCCACATCTCCTTTTTCCTTCACTATGTGCCTTTTCAGATTCCCCACATCTCTTTCTTCACCTCTCAGTCTCACCACTTCAAATCATATTTTTTTCAGAATCTTTCAGCTTAATTTCTTGTTCCAATCCTCAACAAATCCTCGTTTTCTCCGCAAAAGGGGCCTTTCATTTTTTCTTTCTTTCTTATAATCCTCTAAACTGGTCCAATCTTGATGGTCACAATAACATAATTTTAGAGATTTTGGTTGTGCATGTTTGTGTGTGTGTGTGTGTGTTAATGGCTACCTCAACTGGGACTTACAATGAAGTGAATTGTAATAATAATAAGAAGTTGCAGGGTTCTTACAATGGAAGCTCTGTAAATGGAGAGTGGGGTGTGCCAACTTTCCAGCACCAGCAGACCATTTCTATGGATTGGAGTCCTGAGGAGCAAGCCCTATTGGAGGAGGGTTTGTGCAAGTCAGTTTTAATTTTCTTTTTTCTTTACTAATTTCTGGTTTTTTTTTTTTCCATTAAATGTTGATCTGATTGTAGTATTTGGTTCTTGTTCTGTAAGGAGACTTTGATTTTGTTTAAGGTTTTGGGACATATTTTCAAGGTCAGATTGGAGACTTGTGAGTGATTTTTTTTTTTTTTTTTTTTNNNTTTTTTTTTTTTTTTTTTTTTCCTAGTTGAATTGTTTTATTAAATCCTAGTCTTCTTGAGTTTGTTTCCCAGATTTTGGTTTGTACAGTAATTGTTCTGTGTGTCTGGAAAGTTCTCTCTCTCTCTCTCTCTCTCTCTCTCTCTCTCTCTCTCTCTCTCTCTCTCTCTCTCTCTCTCTTTCTTGTAGCCAACCACGGAGCTATGCCCGACTAATCCATTGGTCGACCCGGGTCGCACCCTGCAGTGGTGGGTGAGTCTCCCAACAAAAGGTTTTCTGCATCCACAAGGACTCGAACTCGAGTCCTTGCTTAAGCGGCATCAAGCTGCTTGGCACTTGAACCAACTCATGTTGGTTCTCTCTCTCTCTCTCTCTCTCTCTCTCTCTCTCTCTCTCTCTTATTTTGTTGTTGGAAGAGGGGAAGACAGGGGATCTGAAAGTTGTGGTGTATGATTGCCATTTTCAATTAATTCTATTGATTAATTAAGATTATATCTCCTTACATCTGCATGACTTTATTCCTTAGTGCCCCATTTTCTGTATTCTTTTATGCAGTCAGTAGTCTGCAGTCTCACTTATTTAGCACTTAAAATGCCCTGCAATTTTTGTTAGAAGCTTTCAAATATGTATTTATAGTCCCTCTGTAACAATTTATGAACAAAAATGTAGATATGCCTCTGAGACGAGCATTATTCGATACGCAAAGATCGCTGTCCAGCTAAGAAATAAAACCGTGCGCGACGTGGCATTGCGCTGTAGATGGATGACCGTGAGTTTTATTCTTGCTATCAACTTTTATTTATTTTCTTCTTTGTTATTGTTTCATTATAACCATCATCAGATTTGTCGGTGATGAATTTGATTGGCATAACTGTTATTTGCAGAAGAAAGAAATTAGCAAGAGAAGGAAAGAGGACTTCAATGCTAGGAAAATCAAAGACAGAAAGGTAAAGTAATTTACTCGAATATGTTTCAATTCATATATATACATATATATATATATTTATTTAAATTTAAATATTGTGTAGAATTATGACGGCCCAAGGAATATGTTATAATCTTTTTTTGTCAGGAAAAGGGTATCGATTCTTTGGCAAAGCCTGTTCGTTTAGGGGTCCAATCGTCGGGTTTATCTCATGCTCCTCCTGGATTGGTTTCTAAATTCAATGATGACGTTATCTCGTACAATGGTTAGCTCATGTTCCGAAACATTCGTTACGGTTTGAATCTAAGATTGTTCAAGTGAATTTTCAAGTAAACTGTTTTATTCTCAATATATCATTCATCCTAGATTTTTCTTTTTGTCCTGATACATAAAGAGTACAGGAAAGGTTGTAATCTGAATAGAAGCACTAAGACCTCAATATCTCGATAATACGTATGCAGATGCAGGCGGGGCTGCTCGTCAGCTGCTGCAGCAAAATGCTTGGGTTTTTAAACAGATATCCACAAATCTTGCCACTCATCAGGTAAAGCTTCAATAATTTGTTTTCCGACCATACTAGATTATTGGTTTCTACTTTCTACACCTTATTATCAGTTTCGAAATCATAAGTGATTTTCTCTGTTTCTCACACTTTTTCAGATACATGAAAACATTTGTCTTCTAAGTCGAGCTCGAGACAACATATTCAAAGTATTGATCAAGTAAGTTGTTAGTCCCTTGGTTACGATGATTTATTTGTTTGAAATGTGAATGTTGATAAGCTTCACCTCTGATAATGCACATTTCTCACCGTATAATTGTTGAAGTTCAGCTTGAACGACATGGGCCCCACGATGAGGAAAATGCCCCCGCTTCCTAAGGTGAATGAAGAGCTAGCCAACACCATTCTTCCTCCTACACCTTTCCAAATACAGTGATAGCACTTTTTTCATCAATTTGCCCGACTCTAATTTACTCATAGTTCAAAATACGAGTAATTTGTTAGAAGGATAAGCAGCTAACCTATCTTGGGTGCCAAAGGTGACTTTCGTTGGCGCCAAACTTTCGTCCACTAATTAATATATAATTTCGTTCATTGATTATATAAATTTCAGTTCATTAGTAAAGTGCACGTGTGATGCATGTAACAATAATAGATTTGCTTTGTGATATTGTCTTCCGGATAATTTCCAAGGGGATGTGGTCCAGTCTTATAATGACTTTAAATTATTTATATATTATTTATTGTTTGTTAAAAAAGTATCTTCATTTTAAAAAGTTTTTTTTTATGCAATTTATCTCTCGTAATATTTGTATAATTAATTATTTTAATAAAAAGGAGTTTTAAGCATAATTTATTGTGTATATATATATATGTAGATACCGAAATAATATATGAAGGCACCAATGCATAATTAATTAATCGAAAGACATCTTTTTCTTCTTTTTCGTCTCCGAACATCAGGTTCGGCAAATCAGACCCTTCCAAAAATGGAAAACACAATTGGGATTTTTTTAGAAATTGGATGCAGTTACTAATTCTTCATCGCTTTTCGAGATGAAACTCTATTCTTTAATTGCTCGGCTATAAATTCTGCATTCTGTAGGAACTGGACGATCCCATTTGGTCAAATACCTTAGATGCTGCAGGAGCCCCAACTATGTGAGCCACTAACGGATCGGACACCCATATTCCAGGACCGTACAGGGTTAAAACAAAAAAAGATTTGTTTTTTTTTTTTGAAAAGAAAAGGGAAATAACTTAATATGGAAGGACAATGTGTTTCTATTTTAAAAGAGAGAAATAACGAAATTAGAAACTAATGTGATTTACAAGTGATTCAGTTCTTCTCCTTGATGATTGGAGTTGGAGATGTTTTCTTTTTGGAAGCATTCCATGTATAACTTTTTTTAAGACTACTAAATGCTCTCATATCTTCAACTTCAATAACACAAACGTTTTCATGATGTTTTGGCAAAAAAAAAAAAAAAA